CCTCCTCACCATGACGTCAATCTCCTCCTCCTCACCATGACGTCAGTCTCCTCCTCCTCACCATCAAGGCTGAGATATGTGCATGAACAGGATACACAACCACTTTCCAACCTCAGACAGAGATTGAGGCCAAAACAGAAGAGAAAGCCCTTCTGAAACTCTAGGACTTCACTCTGGTCTCCGTGCTAGATCATCTCAGAATGAAAAGTAAGGGACAGAGTGACAGGGCCATGGCATTTCTTACTGTCTTGGGGAGCTCACATTTTCCTTTTACATGAGGAGGAGGACGAAGAGTATTCTCAAAGTAATCTTGAGAAGCCACATACCACCCAACATCATTCTTACTGAAATATCTACTTTAGGATTCTGGCCACGAATCTTACCATGGAAAGATTTTACTAACCGAAAAATGTTTCTGAACATTAAAAAAAAATCCTAAAGTTTGGAATTTCAGGATCGCTTTGTAAAGCTTGGGTGTTTGACCGACCACTTTCAGTGAGAAAGTGGCCCCAAAGCACTAAAAAGGGAGCATAGAGAAACAAGTCCTAGTCCTCCGGACTGCCTTTTACCCTTCGGGGAGCACCGCGCTCCTGCCTGGTGTGCGGCAGCACTTTGTCAGGCTCTGGAGATAACGGACCTCACCTCTCGCTGGGCTCCTGTGCACTCTAAAGCAGCACTAGATCTGGTAACGTGGCTTTGGGCCCAGCCCCTGCTCCTAACCAGACGGGGACCTGAAGAAAGTCGCTTTCAGGTTGGAGGCTTTCTCTGTACGGTGGTGATGGACTTCTTCAAGCTGCAGCGTACTCAGTTTTATGTTTATCTCAAAGGAAATGGTACAACTCAACTAAAGCATGCTTAGGTAAAAGCAGGTCATCTCAGAACTTATATAGTGTACTTTTTGTTCTGGAAGTTCATTTTTTTTTTTTCCAGTACTGGGAATTGAACTCATGACCTCGTGCTTGCCAGGCAGGTGCTGTGCCACTGAGCTAAATCCCCAGCCCCTGGAAATTCATTTGTTAATGCATAAAGTATATACATTAAATTTTCATATGGCAATCATTATTAATCTATTGATTATTCTTCTCATTCCTCATTCCTTCAGTAAACATTTACCTAATGTCTGTTGTATGCAAGATGCCATGTTGGGATTGAGATGTGAGAGGAACTCTAGGTTCTGTGCCTTGTAGAGCTTACAATCTGGTAACGAAGACGGGAGGAATGTACGAGTTTGGGGGTGAGGTGCCACGCATAGCGTTCACTGCACACCTACCTATCATGCTTGGGCACGTCAGGGAACAAAATCGATAATGGCTGCTGTGTTCATGGTGGTTACGGTCCAATGTGAGGAGGAAACAACAAATGTGACAGACATGACGGACCCAAGATGCCGGCATCACGGTGAATGCCATCAGGTAAGGGGGAGGGGCCTCTGTGGTAGGAGCTGGGAGGAGGGCACAGCCACCTGGGCATGGCAGAGCAGGTCTTCCAGAGAAGGGAGTATGCCCGTAGTGGCAGGACGGAGGATATGGGGACAGGGAGAGCCTCAGAGACAGACAAGGGCAGTGGGAAAGCCCTGAAATCGAAAGCGAGGCGAGGAGGGTGCAGGGGTGTGGACAGCACCGCCCCAGGGTGGGGCAGGTGGCACACAGGTCCTGCAGGTACAGAGCACTGAGCTGTGACCATAGTGACACAGTGGGTATCCACAGGGGTGTGGAGCAGCATGGGCGCTGCCCTGCTTTGCCCTGCATCAGAAGGGCATCCTAGGTGCGTGGTGAGAACAGACAGTGGCCACCTGGAAGTGGGCAGGAGTTCTCAGCTCACAGGGTGGCAGAAACATTGGGCTGGGACCCGTGGGAGCAGGTTGGACGAGAAGTGGCCAGATGCTGGGTCTCTGCTGAAGGCAGGGCCAGCAAGGCACTCTGGTGGGCCGGACGGATGGAAGGATGGAGGGACGGGAAAATGAGGACGGGCACCTATCCCAGCTCTCGAAGTCCAAGGCAAATTTCCTAAAGCAAATGTCCTCCACTCACATGAGGCTCGCAGACAGAGGGATAAGGCAAGCGGGGAGCTGGTGTCGGGGGAGTGAGATTACTGGGGGGAACTAGCTTGTTCCCAGGTGGGAAAGGTGAAAGTAAAGGCAGGGCACGGTGGGCCTGGCTGTCAGAGGGAAAGAGCCTTGAACGAGGATGTGGGGCAGGAGATGGTCTAGATAGGTAGGGGCATTCATCCTGCCAGGAAGAGGCTGCCGCCGTTCCTCCTCAGAAGGAACTGTCTTGTACAAGTGCACAGCTGGAAAAGTACTCTTTCAACCCCTGGAACAGACTGCGGTGTCCGCTGGGTGTCTGCTACTGTGCCCTGTCTGGTGCGTCAAAAATCAAGTTACCAAAACAGACACAATTTCAGAGGAAAGGTAAAACACATCTGCTTTACAACTGCTAACAAAGAAAAAAATCCCTTGGTAATTTTCAGCCTTAAGGCAGTAAGTAGCATGGTATATATATGATCTATTGCCTACTTCATACCTATTTAAATATATGCATATATTCAGTCACATACAAATTAGTGGGTGCTGGACTTGGTACTCTAAATCTACATTCTAATATGTAATATTATTTATGTATATATTCTGGTATACATTATATACATATGTGTGTATATATATATATATCGCAGAGTGAAATGCTGGATTCTTATAGTCAATTCTTTATGTTTGTTTTCATAAATGTACTGTTTCTCTAATTTAGCACCTTGACACCTTCCCACAGCAACACATTTTCTTTTCCAATGAGCTTCCTTGTCCAGTTCTCATCACTAGGCATATTTATCTCGTAGTAGGTCTAAATTCCTTCTATTTTCCGGAGTTTAAATCTGTTTCTCTCTTTCCTCCTCTCTTCAGAGCTGCGGAATGACGGTGATGTCTGGCAAAGGCAGAGGCTAAAACAGCATTTTATGGTCAGGTCTGCACAGTTAGTCCCAGTTCTAGAACCAAAGCCAGTAACAGAACAAGACAGACAAAATGAAGACACTTCTGCTTTATTCACTCCATACTGGCCTTACTTCTTCACTTGCCTTTGCCTTTAAATGCCAAACAGTCAGATAAAGGAAAATGTCTGGGTTACGTGAAGCCAGTAGCAAGGGCTCCCTGAAGTCTGAGATCACCTTGCTTTGTGTGGGTGAGTGGGCACGGCTGTGTATTCTCGTAGTAAGCAGCAAGGAAGAGCTGGAATTACCAAAGGTAATACATGCAGATAAAGGACGCACGAGGTGAGGCTGAGGCCCCACACTGCCGTATCGTGTTTCTCCATAGGATTTAAGCGCACACAGATGCTACTTATGGATAACTGAGTCCCCTTGTTAAAAATACTCTCCAAGGTCTATTCTTGGAACTGATCTAGGATTTTGAGATGAATGCTAATTTACTACAACTTTTCTATTTTTATTTCTATATGAATCACTACACCTGTGAGTACAGAACCCCCACAGTTTGCTCTTTCCCACTTTCCGTAATCATTTCAATGGAAAGAGTTGTATTCATCAGATGAGGAGGGTAGAATACTGACATAACTGGTTCCCACTACTTTTGTCACCCAATAAAGAAGATATTTAAGAACATATGATGGTGCTATTTGTGCTTAGTTTTAAGACGGTTGTGGGCAGGGTGAGGATTTTGAAATTCGAGGCAACACTCACCAGCACTGTGATCTTGCAGCCCCCTGACTTGTTAGTGCCCCTGCAGGGCAAGGTGGGAACCCCCATGTGCGCCCACGGTGCCGAGCGAATGGGAACAGACTGCAGACTGGCGGTACTGTGGGCGACGGAGAGCACCCATCACTGTCCTCGATTGGGCATCAAAATGTTCTGTGCCCAGGAATATTACTACTTACCATTTTATGACTGGGACTGCAATACAGTCCCCAGAACAAGTGCACTAATGAGCTGATTTCGGGTGCTCCTGAATGTGGAATACAAACCTAAAGATTGTATTTATGTTAACAGTGCATTTACATGAAGCATATATTTACAACTGTGTAGAGCATATTTAGAAATTGGCCCAGAAGAACCCCTTTGCACTCCTTTGTATGGCCACTGCTGGCCAGAACGCCTTCCATCGGCCTTCAGTTTGTCTGAATCGAAGCTCAGGGAAAAGCTGCTTCATTTCATAGAACAAACTGAGAAAATCCACAGCTCTTCCAACCCGCAGGAGCGCTTTCTGTACAGCTGTGCAGTGACCCACACAGCCTGGAAGCCACCGTGGTCTGGACCTCTTCCCCGTGTTGGCCCTAATGAGCCTCTGGGAACGGTGACACTTTCTCTCACCCACTGTGAGAGCTAAGAGCTTCTTTTGCTGAAATCTCCCACGAGGCAGGCTCAGAAGTTCGTGTTCCTTAACAAGGTGTCAAATCTGCTCAAGAAGAGTAAAGGCCCACACTGCACGTGTCCATCCCACAGCTAGCAACGAACAGGAGGGCGCTGCAGCCTGGCCACTGCCAGGCAGCCACCCCCGTGGGGCATCAGCTCGCGCGGGCCTCTCATTTCCAGAGCGCGGCGGCCAAGACATCCACTCAAGAACGGGTAAGAACACCACAGGGCACCTCCAGACATGTGTTTGTCTGTCTGAAACCCTTCTGTGGCCCTGACCCTGGGCTTCCTGCCTGGGGGTGCGGGTGGACGTGGGTCGCAGCGGGCTGCACCCCTGTGCACCCAGGACGCGCCGCCCACTCACCTGTGAAGTTCACCTCCATCAGCGTGTCCCTTCTGAGTTTCCCCCCATGCACCTCAAGGTCAAGCGCTTCCTGTGGCCTTGACACGGACAGGGCTTCCCGCCTGGGGCACGGGTGCACGGGTCCCGCGGGGAGTTCACCCTTCACCCAAGGGACACGCCTCACCCGCTCACCTGTAAAGCAGACGGCACCCCCTTGGCCCCGCACTGGGCTTCCCGCCTGGGCGCAGAGGGACGTGTCCCTGAGCTCCACCCCTGCACCGCGCACCTGCCCCCTCACCTGTGAAGTTGATCTTGAGCAGGTAGTCGCGGTACAGCTTGCGGCCGTCCAGCACCTTCATGGCATCGCACAGCTTGGTGGTGTTGGGGCACAGCGCGCGCTGCATGCGGTGCAGCGCGTGCGCCATGGCGTACACGGCGTTCACCACGAACATGATCTTGGACTCCTGCTCGTAGTTGCTGGCGTCCAGGGCCAGGTGCTCGGGGCACGCGCGCCGCGGGCCCCCGCGCAGGCTGCACTGGAACTTCTGCTCCCAGAACTCGCGGAACCAGGGGTTGCGCAGGTTGGTGGCGGGCGACAGCGCCCGGAAGTAGCGGTCGAACTGCGGCAGGCGGCGCGCGGCCAGCTCCAGCGTGAGCGCCCCC